TGTGGTTGGAATCATTGGTCTTAGAGTTACTTTCCAATCTCAGTGATTCTGTGACTCTAGGGTCTGCTTCTTGCAATGGGGAAGCTTTTGGGGCCAGCAGGTCCTTGGCTGCATCTCGCAAGGGTGGGGATGGTTCTGGGAGCTGAAGGAATGACAGGAACCGGAGCTGGGTGAGGGTTTCCTGCTGCCTTCCCTCCCCAGGGCAGCTGTGGCTGTGGTGCTGGGGGATTGGGAGACTAAATGAGAAGGAAAGAGCAGTGGGAGATGAGGAGGTGCTGTGAGTTGCTGAGGAGCAGGAGGAGAAGGGTCTGAGAGCTGTGTCTCCCCCAGAAGCGGCGCAGACCCACCCTGGGTGTGCAGCTGGACGACAAGCGCAAGGAGATGCTGAAGCGACACCCCTTGTCTGTCACCATCGACCTGAAGTGCAAGGGTAAGGGAGTCTGGTAGCCCTTGGGGAGTGCACAGCAGCGTGTGACAGCAGGTCAGGGACAACCCAGCAGCAGCTTGGGGTCCCTGTGGAGCGCTGAGGGTGTGGAGAGGCTCTCTTGAGCATGGCCTTCCACAGAGACTGAACGAGGTGATTCATCAGCTCTGCTTTCCTGAGCTCCTCTCACCCATGCTGTGGTGTGACCTTGCTCTGAAACTTCCTTCACCTAGCTGGGAGCTTTTCTCCTGTTGTGGGGTCTTGGGCCTGACTGATACCACCTGGTAAATATTGATGGGATTGTGTTAGGGGTTACGGTGGGTCCAGTTACTCACACGCTGCCTCTGCCCCATTTGCTGCTGTCCTAGCAGGGGAACATGTGTCCCCCACTCTGCACAGCACTCCAAGCTGAGGCAGGCACCAATGTTGCCCCTTCTCTGTGGTGCAGATGAGAACGTGCTTCATCTGACCTTCCACTACCTGATGAACCTCAATGTCATGACTGTGAAAGCCAAGGTGACCACTGCCATGGAGATGACCACAGCCATCAGCGCTGGGTAAGGAGAGCCTGATGGGCACTGGGCCTGGAGCTCATCAGACAGTGACCCCTCTGGCCCTGCAGGAGCCCTGCACAGCCCTGGCACCCTCCTCCTCCTCTCCCTCTGCCATGACAAGCCAGAGTCAGGGAGGTTGGGAACCTCTTAGCAGTGCCAGACCTCTCCTGCTGTCATAGTCAGCCTCCTCCTGCAGCCAGTGCCTGGCATCTCCCCTCACCTGCCTGCTCTGCAGGTCACCTTGTCCTGAGCCTGTCCCTGTGTTCCCCAGAGCCTGCAGGAGCCTGTGCTGTGTGAGGAATAGCTGAAGTGGCAGCTGTGGGAGCCTGCCCGGGGAGCTCCTGTTAGCTGCCAGCTCTCCAGTGGCTCTCCTTGGTCAGCCCCAATGGAGAGGGAGGTGGGAAGGTTGATCTAGGCTTAACTGGAAGCAAGTGCTGCCTCCCAACCTGTCCCATATGTGGCCTCCCTATTGGCTTGGGGTTCTCTTTTCCCTGTAGGCTCCCAAAACCTTCCATGGCAGCAGCTAGAGTTCCTGTGCAGGATGTTCCCTCCCTCCTGGTGCCCCTGCCTATGTCACCCCAAACCAGCCCCAAATCCTACAGCCCATTATGCTTGCTTGGGCTTGGGAATACAGTCAGACATGAAGTCTTATTGCACTGGAGGGAACAGCTTTCTGGGAAACTGGAACCTGGTGCCCTGTGATTTCCATCTTCTTCCCAGGCAGGGAGGAGACAGATCTCCTTTTGGAGTGGAATTAGGGGACAGCCATTCTGGTCTTGAGCTCATGGAGCTCTTAGTCTCCTTCTCTGGCCTTGGGACCTGTTGGTGGCTACTCCAGAGAGATGTGGAGCTCAGGCTGCTGTTGATTCACCTCTCCCTTCCTCCTGCCAGGGACCTGCTCTCCCCAGACTCCCTTCTCAACTGCCTCTACCCAGGAGACCATGGGAGGAAAACGCCCAACCCAGCCAACCAGTTCCAGTTTGATAAAGTGGGGTGAGTGGGGGTAGTGTCACCTAGGCTGTTGGTGTGAGTGCTCTGCTCTGGCATGGCATGTCCCTCCCTGGCTTGCCAGGGAGGGTTTGGAGGCCAGGAAGTCCATGTCCTGCCAGTCAGCATGGGGTGGGCTCACTGGGCACAGCATGGGGTGCAGGAGAAAGCAGGCCCTGCTCATAGGCTGGGCAGTGGGGGGAATGTTCTGGGGTGACATAACCATTCCTCATTGTCCCCACAGCATCGTGACCCTGAGTGACTACGTGACAGAGCTGGGGCACCCCTACGTGTGGGTGCAGAAGCTGGGTGGCCTGCATTTCCCCAAGGACCAGCCTCAGGCATGGCACACTCCCTCCCCTCTCCCCTTCAACATCGAGCTGAGCTTTGGGGACACTTGTGTCCTGCCCTCTTGCCTGAAAGCTCCTGCTGACACCCGGTGCTCGCAAACCACAGTGCACCCATGGCTGGGACAGGCTCAGTTGAGATGAATCTGTGCATGGGGCCATGCTGACGTATTTTATGTCACACATGATAGTCTCAGCCCTGTTAGTGGCACTGAGTGACCCAGTGTGTGCCTAACCCCAGGGTGGGGTGGCTCCTGGACTGTGGGGGCCCAGTGGGACCCACAGGCTGGCGTGACAGTGGCATCCCTCCTGCCCACAGCACACGGTCACTGCGGACAACTCCCTGAGTGCCAGCCACATGGAGCTGACGGTGAAGCTGCTGCGGAGCAGGCTGCAGTCCCGCCTGGCCCTCCACAAGCAGTTTGCCTCCCTCGGTGAGTGCTGAGATCCTGTCCATCCCTGGGGTCAGGGCTGCAGTGGCAAGGTCCTACTGCAGAGGAGAGATGGCTGATACCACTTTTAATGGGTGGCAGTGCCACCCACAGCGTTCCCAGTCATTCCCTCGAGGGTAGTGCAAGGGATGCTCTGGTTTGGGTGGGAGGAGAAGGCAATGCCCCTGTCAGTGTCCAGCACCTCTTTGGGAATGTCCATCCCAGTGCTGGGAAGGGATTTGAGCTATGGTGGGAGGTGAATTGTCCACCCATGTGTGTCGTGTGCCTGCTCAGTCCCCCAGGAATCCAGTGGAATCACAGCCCAGACCTCCACTGCTCCTCGCTGGGAACCTGTGGGAGGTGCTGAAGGATAGCAACATCCCAGGTCCTGGTTTGGGAGCCTCTCAGCTGCAGGGCAGTGCCAGAGCTGTCCCCCCAGCTCTCCCCTGCTCAGGTGGCCTTGTCCTTGCTTCCAGAGCATGGCGTGGTGCCGGTCTCCAGCGAGTGCCAGCAGCTCTTCCCAACCAAGATTGTCTCTCGCCTGGTGAAATGGGCTGCCATTCCCTACGAGGATTATGCGGTAGGCACAGAGAACGAGGCTGTCTCTCTTCAGCTCCCTCCCAGCTCCTGCATGGCACCAGCAGGTGCTCATTCCTCCTCTTTTAGGAAGGAATTCTTCCCTGTGAAGGTGCTGATGCACTGGCACATGTTGCCCAGAGAAGCTGTGGCTGCTCCATCCCTGGGAGTGTTGGACACGGCTTGGAGCAACCTGGGCTAGTGGAAGGTGTCCCTGCCCATGGCAGTGGGGTGGGACTGGATGATATTTAAGGTCCCTCCCAACCCAACCCAACCAATGATTCTCTTGTCTCAGGAGCTGCCCTACACTAAGGATGTGATAGAGGCAGGCTTGGCTGAAGACACTCACCTCTATTACATGGCTCTGATAGAGCGGGGAACAGGTAAGCTCATTTCCTTCCCCTGGGAAATCCCAGCCCCACACCAGACACCCTCAGGGCAACTTCTGGGGGTCTTCATGGAAACTCCCCCCCCAGTTGGAGGCCCCCTGGGCTCTGGGTGACATCTCTTTCCTTCCTGCTCAGCCAAGCTGCAGGCCGCTGTGGTCCTGAATCCTGGTTACTCCACACTTCCACCTGTTTTCAGCCTGTGCCTGAACTGGAAGGGAGAGAGGAACAGCAGCAACGATGACAACATTCGGGTAACGTGGGTGGGGGCAGAGGAGGCTGGAGCACCTCTGGCTTTTCTGGGGTGTATCCCTAGTAGTTCTGTGCCCATAACAAGCAAGATATTGGGGTGAGCTGGTGGCTGGGCACTCGGGGCGCACGTGACCTGCTGGGTGCAGCAGTGGGTTCTGGGAGGGCAGAGCAGAGATCCCAACCTGTGCCAACCCAATCTTTGTTCTAGGCCATGGAGAGTGAGGTCAATGTGTACTACAAGGAGCTGTGGGGGCCCAAACCAGGCTACCAGCTCCTCACCAACCAGCTGCAGCGCCTGTGCATGGTGCTGGATGTGTACCTGGAGACTGAGCCCCATGACCCCAGCGTGGAGGGGCCCAAGGAGTTCCCCCAGGAGAAGATGTGTCTGCGCCTGGTCAGGTGAGAGCCCGGGGGGACCGTGGGGCTGGATGGGGCTGAGGGTGCTGGCAGAGACCTTGGTGGCACTGCTGTCCCCTGGAGCCTGACCTAGTGCCAACCTTGAAGCCTGTCCTGTGGGGATCTGTCCCCACAGCTGGGCAGGACCCCAGGTCCAGGTCCTTTCTGTGGGTGCCATGAGGTTCCTGATCCCTGTGGGTCACAGCCTCTCCCTCTTTTCCTCTTCCAGGGGTCCCCTGCGCCTGAAGCCCTTCAAGTTCAACTACCCTCAGGGGTTCTTCAGCCACCGCTGAGCACCCCTAGACATCACTCTGGAATGGGCCTGTCCCCATCCTGACATTTCAGCTCCTTTTCCAAGACTTTGGGTTCTGTTTGAAGGTTTTGTAGCCAGAGGGATTAAACTGAACTGAAGAAAAAACGTGTGGTTGGCTTGTCTGTGCAGAGGGCTGCAATTAGGGATATGGGAAGATGCAGCAAGCCCTGTGTCCCATCCCTGGGCTCTGACAGCCTTTCCTGGGATGTTGCCTGCCTCCTGCCCTCCCTCCCACTGCAGGGCCTCGGGAACTGAGATGGCTAAAAACTGAGATGGCTATAAATAGCCGTTTTCCGGAGCCCGCACTGCAGCCCCAGCCTGTCCTTGCCGGCTGGGCGCCGGCTGCCAGCCCACTCGGCACAATCCAATCCCTGCATGGGTGTTTGCTGCTTCCTGGGCTTGCAGGTGAGCAGAGCAGTGCCCTGGGAGAGGCAGGATGAGGGATTGGGGCATGCCAACACCCCAGCTTGCTCTGCTAGGGATCAGGGAATTGGGGTGTATCCTTCTCTGTCACCTCCCATGTGGGTCTCCTGTCCCACAGCCAGGCTGGCAGAGCTGGGGTTCCATCCCTACTCTCAAGGTCATTGTGCTTCCTGGGCTTGCAGGTGAGCAGAGCAGTGCCCTGGGAGAGGCAGGATGAGGGATTGGGGCATGCCAACACCCCAGCTTGCTCTGCTAGGGATCAGGGAATTGGGGTGTATCCTTCTCTGTCACCTCCCATGTGGGTCTCCTGTCCCACAGCCAGGCTGGCAGAGCTGGGGTTCCATCCCTACTCTCAAGGTCATTGTTCCTCCTGCTCCCCAGCTTCTCCATGTCTCCCCTGGGTGCAATTTCTTCCCAGGAGGACTGACAGCTCCTCTTCTGCTGCCCTCCAGCCCCTGCCCTCAGCACAGTGCTGCAGTGCTGTGCTGCAGCCCTAGGGTTAAACCAGGCCCTCCCAGTCCCTTGGGAGCCATGCTTTAAAAAGAGAAGGAAGGGAAAAAAACCTGCTGAAATCCTTTGGAAAGCATGGTGGGGGCTGGCCCTGTTTCCACCCTCAGGACACAGGGTCCTTTGTACCTGCTGGGGGTTTGTTTTCCCTCTGGAATGCCCTGTGTCACCCCCAGCCCTGGGTGACAGATCCCAGCCCCCCATTCCTGCCTGCCTTCCCTCCCCACCAAGACAGGTCAGCAGAGCCAAGGTGTCTCCGTAAGCACTTTATTTAGTTATTGCACAGAAAGCAAATATCAGTGGGCTGAGGTTCCTGGTGCACTGTGTGTGTCT